TATAAATGTTAATAGTTTATAGTTTAATCATTAGTTACTGTCAAAATAAGAATCGTATTTGAAAGTTTGACGCATAAATTGATTCGAGATCAAGTATTCATATGGATGTATCGATTATTATACGATTTCGTGTTGTTATAGTTTTTCAAATGAGATCGGTCTGTTAGCTTCTTCTTGTCAACTTCTATTGAATAATACATGATTTCTAATTTGATCTATTTTAGTTTCTTGTATACTAATAGACATCAGTATATTTATTTATTTATAACAACGCAAGCATTTATTGGACGCGCTCATATCATTACCACATAAAAAACAATGTGCTCTGTTCGAAATATGACTAAGAAAAAACATCAATGATTGTCGAACCTATCAGAAAAGGATCTTTTTTCATGAAAAAAATAAGCATGTGTGAAAATGAAAGATTTTGCCATCAACTGAATATGGCAACTATATTTTCATCGTTTAAAAACTTTATCGGATAAGCTGACTATCCTTTATTTGATAAAACACATATACTGTTTCTGAGAGCAATTTGCGGCGCATCGAATGGAATATAGGAAGTTGCATTTTCATCAAGTTTTAACGCTTTGAGAAGCCATACATCAGTTAGGAGATATTATAGCAATTGTGGGGATTACGACTGAATATCATGATTCCGTGCAAGGTGTCTCAAAAGTCTGGCGTCAAAACTAATCAAGTAATTTCATTTCATATGGTAGTCATAAAGTCAAAGTTTTTATTAATGCTGACTAACTTTGCAAATAATGTTACAAAATATCAGTTTTGGCTGAAATACAGAAATTCAGTTTTTTCGAATCCGATTCAAAAAATTGCGTATCGTTTCTTTTTTTGAACATTTCAAACTTTGAAATTTTCTGGTTTTTCTATGGGTCCAGTGTCGTTTTACACATATCTTTATAAAAAGAGATCCAGTAGTAGAATTCGGTGATGTCAATAAAAGGACAATAAAAGACGTGATTAATTGAAAAATCAGAAAATTTCAAAGTTTGAAATGTTCAAAAAAAGAAACGATACGCAATTTTTTGAATCGGATTCGAAAAAACTGAATTTCTGTAGTTCAGCCAAAACTGATATTTTGTAACATTATTTGCAAAGTTAGTCAGCATTAATAAAAACTTTGACTTTATGACTGCCATATGAAATGAAATTACTTGATTAGTTTTGACGAATTAAGGTCAAGTGAGTTATACCAATTTACTTTCACGCCATACTTTTGAGACACCTTGCACAGAATCATGATATTCAGTCATAATCCCCACAATTGCTATAATATCTCTTAACTGATGTGTGGCTTCTCAAAGCGTTAAAACTTGATGAAAGTGCAACTTCCTCTATTCCATTCGATGCGCCGCAAATTGCTCTCAGAAACAGTATATGTGTTTTATCAAATAAAGGATAGTCAGCTTATCCGATAGGATCCTTTGCCAAATGTAGTCATGACTTGTTTCGATTTTTACTTCGTATTGAAAACTATGTTTTCGAATGTATAGAACAGTATTAGTCCTATCTATTAGATTACTTAAAGTAATCGATAAATCTCATCTGATATGACTGTAAAAAAGTATCATGGAGATCGTTTTACGATAAACATAATTATGTCGAAAACAACAACTATAAGGGATTTAGTATTTGAAAAAGAAATGTTGTCTTCTTATAAGATGAAAAAACAGCTATTGTCGTTTCTTTTTATTTCTACTAAAAGCTGTCTTGAATACGGTGAAATCATCTCTCATTCCATGAGTATCTTCTGAAACCAAAGGAGAAACAGCTGATTTTTGGATTTTTCCGATTTTGGTCGATTTTGCTGATTTTCATCGATTTTCACCAAATGAAAAGTCACCGGAAATGACTGGAAGTCATTAAAAATCACAGAGAATTACAGATGATCACTGAGAATCAGTGAAAATCAATTGATTTTGGGTGATTTTCGAGTTATTTCGGGTTGATTTCAGTCTGCTGTTTCCCCCTTGTCTGAAACACATGTTAAACAACATTGTCAACCTATATAAGGCGATATTTTTAGATCAATGTACTATGTTCTTTCCTCCTTTTTAACCATTTGACGGGCGACTTTTCTAAGACCGACTCAGATCGAACTGAATGATGAAATTAGCACGGCCTCCATCGAGATAAGCATGCGCGACAATCGAGAAAACGATACCTGTTTGCTTCAAATTTGATGAGACCATTCATCGCGGTTTATATGTGCAGTATATATAAAGTATCTATCAAGCTAGAAAAATCGATCGATTTTGTTCTTCGATTCAGAGGCTGTCACTTTATGTCCAAGCTAGAAGTCTAATTTGATACATTTCTAGCTTGAAAAAGCCATCAGTCCTCTCAGAAAGGACAGGAAGAGATCTCTATTGAGAAATAACCAAATGCAAGAAATCAGAGAGACAATAGAACTAGTCAGATAAAAGGGAAAAAAGAGAAATGCATGGTTTTTTTTGCCAAGAGTGCTACTTGGAATGCTACTTGGTATGAAATGAGTAAAAACAGTTTCGTTGGTTTGATACACATAAAGCCACTCTGCAAGTTGAGCATTCTATGGCAGATCTTTGTTCATTATTTTTCGTGCTGAAATAGGCACATCTTCGGCGAGACGTAGGTATCGGAAGGTGAGCATCAACATTTGAGAACCGAATGGAGTCAGAAACAGATATTTTTCTCTCGCCCCTTGTCCGTTTTTCACACCGAAGTTGGTTATAGATCTTCCTGTTTTCTTCTTCAGCATAACAGTGTGACCAATTAGTTCTTCAGAAACATCCCCCAGAAACTTCAAATACCTCAGATGATCACCCGGATGATCTCTGAGATACAGAGCAAAAGCATTTGACAATGCCACATTGAGGAACTGAAAGAATATACGCAGCCAATTCCTCTTTGATTTCCTATCAACGGCGTAATATTGGATTCTTTGATTAGTCCGATCAATCCCAATCTTTCCGAAATTGTAGTCCTGTATGATATTTGGATACTGCAACTTGATTGCTTGTCCGTTTTTCACTTTTCGAGATATTAGTGACGTTTCTCGTGGATCAGTAATGTTCGACATCATAAGGACCGGTTTTCGATCCATCCATCTAACCACTGAAATAGAATCGATAGCTGCGAACTTCACGTCACCACGACTCATTTCTGTTGGGACACCTCTTCTGGTGGCTCGAAGAGTACCAGTGCAATAAATGCCATCTGCAAGAAGTTTTTCAACAAGCAATGGTGATGTGAAAAAATTGTCGAAATAAACATGATGGAATTTCATCGCGAGCCCTCTTGTCAGTGAATGGACAACATGTTCACTCAAAGGGACTTGCCTTTGCATCGATTTGCCGCAATAAATCTGAAAATCGTATACATATCCAGTCGATGTGTTAGCAAGAATCCAAACTTTGTAACCTCGCCTGATTGGTTTTTGTTTCAAGTATTGTTTGAGAGAAGATCTTCCTTTGAACTTGATCATCATCTCATCGATAGTCAACTTTTCGCGCAAGTCGGAATGTGCCTGGAAATTGCGCTTTAGTATTCCGAGAAAATCCGCTACTTTATAGAGCTTATTGGACGCTAAGTCGCGGTTTTTTGCTACGCGTACATTGTCGACTAGATGTAAATTGCCCAAGATTCTTTTTGAACGCCTTACATGGCATTGACTGCGAAATCCTCTCATTTCGAAGAAACGCATCTGTGGACCAGTAGCTGTCGATTGAGGCCTTATTACGTAAGCCAGATGGCGCCAATAACCAGTGCAGAACGAAGAGAAGCGATGAGACTGCGAGTGCATAAAACATGCAAATTTTAATCCGAACTCATCTTCAGGAGAAAGCTGGGCTTCCCCGTTCATTGGATATCTCCTGTCGTTCTGGAAAGTAAAAATGAGTATGGTCTGCTTCACCAATAAATGCAAAAGGAGAGTATTAACATCGAAACTCGAAGATTCACATTCAGAAATCGATATTCTACATTGAGTGATGTTTTTCTCTCGATCAGAGTCATTCTGTACATTTTATTATGTTTCTTAAACAATGAAGAAAAAAGTGGGACGTATATGTCCCACCGCCCGTCAAAGGGTTAAACGCATTTTTCCTCCACTTTTGTACCTTATGGCGCCGACTCTTTATTTGAGAAAAATGCGCACTGTATCCCTGATTTGTTCGCTCTCGGACTTTTATATAAAAAAATGTTTTATTCATTCTTTTATATTTTTTTCGTTCCTAACAATGCTGAAACAACAAAAAATGTTTAGACAAAAGGAAAAAGATTAGTCTTTAATTACCAGTCCAAATATCACATTTCCAGGCTTCAAACGGGTGTTCTAATATAAACTGCAGTTCGGTGGAAATTTTTTCCAAGTAATTGAAAATCAGATGGGTGAATCATCAATCATTTCATGAATCAATTGTGCCAACTTAGGGAAAATAATACATCAACAAAACAAACAGGAAGAGTAGAATTTTAGTGCTGAAAATATTGCATCAGAACAGTTTATTTCATACCTCTGCTCTTCCCCCTTCCCTTGAAAAACGAAGGACTGTTTCAGAGATCGAGAACTACATTGGTGCAGTTTCAGTGGCTGGACGAGCTTCCCTCTAGCCAATTTTATTAATTTTTAGACACGCTTTCGAAATCGTTTTGATATTCTCTGTTTGAGTTCTTTCTCAGGTTAGAAACTGATGACTTAACCATCTTTCTATAACAATGATGATTTAACAGATTCCGAATTAATCCCTTCCGATTCGTTATACTCTAAAGGCTTAAAATAAAAGTTACTAATGGTCTTTTACCCAGTTCTTAAGTATTCAGCAATTGATTTGAACTGAAAAACTACATGCAATATCCATTTTATCCTTTTAGGCTTAGAACAAACAATGATTACAGTATTAGATCAGTATAGAAAGGAGTGCTTCGCGTGACAAACATTTCTTATACTTTTTCATCTTTCGAATATACTAGTAGTACCATGATTAAATCACGGTCTACTAAAAAGAAATTTCATCATTTGTAGAAGGATTTATTGGTGCGACACATTTTGGTGGTGTTTCACTCACTCGCTGACGTTTTCTTGATGCAAATGTTGATACTGTTGTATATGATTCAACTAATTTTTTATCATCAGCAGCAAATAATATTTTACCACTGAATATCTCATTGCCATACTTGACTTTAACTGTATCTCCAACTAAACCTTCACTTTTGTAATTAATAAAGTCTTCTTTGGATAGAATAACTGTAGTATTATCGGCAGCAAAATAAATAAGAAAAAATTTTGGTATATCTAATTGGAAATTAATAGATAGAAAATAAATAACCTCACTATTCTACTTATGATATTAAGATTTACAAAATATAGAAATGAAACACTTACTTAAAGGTAGCTTTGTTGTAGTATTTGTGAGTTTATTAGATTTCGTTGTCATTTTACTATCAATACTGTATCTGAATGACATGGTGAAAAATGGGAAAATAAGAAAGTGATCTGTTTAAAGTATTCAGATATTGGAATATATGTTACAGTCTAATATACTCATGTGTTTCTTCTTTAGATAACATTGTAAGATGACTAATCAATTTGTCAGTGCTAACCGGTTTAATAATTTCAATGTATGTATATTTTCTGCATAATTGTGTACAAACTCAATTAACGTTTGAAATTAGTATTGTGCATAATAGGAAAGTGATCTTATTTTTGAGACATGTCGTTCATAATCTTATAAATTAATGTTTAGGATTTTGTCAAGAATTTTGATGCAGAGAATGATAAATCTCGCGATTTTCTGCTAACTCCAAAAACTAACGATATTCCGGTAATTAAAAATATACGATCATCATCAAACCAACCACTGTCACAGTCATCACAGCGGCGTGAAAGACCAGGATTGCACCTTAAATACCCACTGATTGTTAGTGAATTAGAAAGATTTTTAAATTTACATGCTGGTGGTGCACAAGAAAGACGAAGAACAGATGCCGTGCATTATAATGGTAAGGTGCAAAAATCTTGACAGTATACAAAGATTTTTTAGCCGAGAGATCCCAGGTTTCACCGCTGAATTTCAAAAATATACCGGTTTTTCGTTCTCTTTGATGTCAATGTTCTTTGCATATGATCCTTTTCCTGTTCTATGCGCATATAGAGATAGATATAGAAAGCAAGGTGAGAAAAGGACAGATGGTAGACTAAAACGGAACTAATTTGAATGTCCCTCACTAGGACTTCGATTTTTAGTTTGAAGTACACAAGTTGAACTCTGTGCCAAGCTATTTTCTAGCAAAAAAGTACATTATACTTCTTGAGTTGATGTTAATATCAAAGTTGAGCATAAGGAAACATGTAGTATTTCAATACAAGTTGAAAAATGAAACTGAGAAACTATAAAAGCGTTTTTCGAGTCACATAACTCAAGAAGTACAATGTACTTTTTGCTAGAAAATAGCTTGGCACAGAGTACAACTTGTGTACTTCAAACTAAAAATTGAAGTCCTAGCGAGGGGCATTCAAATTAGTTTCGCTTTAGTCTACCAAGCGACCAGAATATAGACTAATTCCATAGTGAGTGCAATGTTTCTTAAATGAATAATCGGATAAAAACATAACATTTGTTCTTTTCTCACTTTCTTGCTTTCTACAGGCGAACTCTGAATGTGTACAAAATACGATAAATATACGTCTAGAAAAAAGACATAAAATTCTGATATATCAAAACCGAATCAATCAAATTTCTATTTGTTATTTTAGGTATAACAACATCACAAATGAGAGATCATGTAAGATCAACGTTAGGATCGACATATCCACGTTTAAAAACTATCTCAAATAAAACATGTCGACGATTACTAGAAGCGCCAGCCAAAAATATGCTAGCATCTAGATATTATAAAAATGTTATCAATTCCAGCTAAACGAAATGATAAGAATTGCAAAATATTAGATGATTCGCATTTTGCTTCAGCACAAGTAAAATATGGTTATGAATTAGCATCGTTATATCCACAAGAAATTATCAGTTTATCATGTGATAATAAATGTAAAATTCCAATTGGTAGTTTAGCCGTCAGTCGTTATCTTTTCATATAGTTGTCTAAAATTGTAAAGATTCTTTCTATGTATCTGCATTCTGTTTGTTCTACTTTTAGTTGTATCGTCAAAGACAATAACACCATCTGAAAAGTAGTTTTCAATTCCTTCAGTTTGTATACTCGCCTTATATAAGTAACAATTAATAAATCGCTGTCTTTTTTAAGTTTTTAATTGTATTTATTTTGAAAAACATTAGCAATGAAAATTTTTCCCAACCTCTTGTCGTTTGTGTTTCTTTTTCTTTGTATTTTGCGAACAAATGTTTCAACAAAAAGTAGAGATACTGTACGTGTTTAGTTTCTACTTCGATTTGTTTGCTCTTTTTCAATATTTCTTTCGCTCTCTGTCAAATACCGTACTTCTTTGTTATCTGCATTTAGCCACACGAGAAGTCAATTGTAAGGATATGAGAGGATTGCAACTTATTTGTATATAATTGAAAAAAATATCTGAAAATGACTTTGAAACAGATCTCAGTTAGAAGTTTTGTTCTACGCTCTTCCTAGTAAAAATTTCTCAGTACTTGGTCGCATAATCACGGAGAGACTGGGCTTTGACTGAAAAACATACCAAAATCCTCATAGTGATCAAAATTTCATGGAAACCTCAAGTATTATACACCATTCGACGCAAAACTTCCTTTACATAGATGACTCAGACAAAAAAATTCATCTAAATTGTAAAAAACTGCCACGGAAATTTATGAGGAATGAGAAAGTTTATCCATTTCATGGATACTATAGCTGTTAGTTCCCGTAAACTTGATTACACCGTGTTCTCGAAGAAAAATCCGAGTAAAACATGGTGAAATCAGCATCCCAACGAGCACACAAAATCTCTTTTGAAAGGTACTTCTTGCCGCTAAAAACTTTTATTGTTCTCGGATTCAGGTGATAACTTTACAGATGGGCATCGGGACCAAAAAAATTTTCTGGTCCCGGTAAAAGATTTGATTGCCGTTCCATCACCTTCACGGTTAAAATATCATTTGGCCGCGCATGTTGTAGAGAAATGTTTGCTCTTTCAGATTATATATTCTAAAATATTTCGCGAGTCTCTTTT